ACAAATGACTATTTTGCCACACAGCAATTTACTACAGTGTACATGTAAAGACATCAAATGCAAGGAGATCAAATCAGTCAATCCTAAAAGAAATCAACCTTGACTGTTCCCTGGAAGGCCAGATACTTAAGCTGAAGCTCAAATACTTTGGCCACCAAATGAGAAGGGAGCACTCACTGGAGAAGACCCTGATGCTCAGAAAGATTGAAAGTCAAAGAAGAAGGGGATGGCAAAGGATGAGATGGTTAGTGTTATCAAGGCAACGAACATGAAATTAAGCAAACTCTGGAGCACAACAGAAGACAGGAGGGCCTGGCGTGATCTTGTCCATGGGGTCGCGAAGAGTCGGACTCGACTGTGTGACTGAATAACAACAAACACATGTAATCACTCAGTAAGTTGGCTTAATTTCTTGTCCTGCCAAGCTGTTGCAAGGGAGTATGCACACAGCAATTTTCTCAGTACTCTAGTTGCCTCAGCAACTATTGGCTGTTATTTCCCAGCTACTGTGGAAAGGCTTTGTGGCGTCCTCTTATTAGGGAGGACTGGTTTTCCCTTTAAATGTGCTCTTTGCTTTATTAAACTGGGTAGATTTGGCTGCCACCAGGAATGTAAGAATTTCCAAACCTTCTCTCTGTTCTTTCTGGTAAAGTAACCCAGGGTCTAGGCTTTTCAGGGATCTATGTGGTCCTGAGGAAGGACTGAATTCAATTCTGCGATAACTTAAACAAAAGATGATTTATTGAACTAAGAACAAAATATGAGGTTGGTTATTCTGTAACTGTTTAGGATAAATGTAAATATATTGTTCAAATGTATCACACACACAGCCTTTTTTTCCTTTACTTTTGTTTGTTTGACACTCAGTTCCAACATTAACAAGATTCACTCTTTCTTTCCTTTAGAGTCAGCCACTTAGGCTAAGGACATATATACCTCTTTGAGATCTCACACAGAACTATATTAACCCTCACTGACTGAACACACAATGAACAATTCCAACTGACTTTCATAACTAACTTTTCATAACTGACTAACACACACACACAGATTCCTTTCAAAAACTCCCTCCACACTGTCATTCACCAATCACAGCACCTTTGTCTCTCTCAATCACTCTAATCTGCTTATCACCACACTTCAACCAAACATTTAAAGGCACACACACTCAAAACAAGGAATCATTACAGGCTTTTCCTAGCTTTTTTAAAAAAGTGGCAATTCATACTGCTATACTGCAATAAAGTTATATTGATCTATTGTAACAATGTGCAGGTTGTACATTTCCCCTTATAACTCTGCAATAAAAAGACTGGAAATTTACTGTTTAAAGTGAAAATTGGAAACCAGTATAATACATTGTTGCAATAGATAGCTATAACATTAATGCACCATAGTGGTCTATCAATTACTGATTTTAAAAAAGTCCTATGATGATTTCACTCTCCCTCACAGACTTTCCCTTTATATTGTTCTTAGCTGAGTAGCCCCTTTTTCTTCTTTGTTTTTCTCTGGCTGTTACAGCCAGTTGTTTGACTGTATATTGGTAATTGCTGACCCAGCCTAAGGAACTGAGGGGAGAGACTAAAATCCTTCTTTTGTCCTTGTTTTATAAAGGCATACTAGAGACTGATGGTAAATCAAAACTAACCATCTGTTTTATTTCATTTTGAGGGGAAATGGTCAGGTAAGAATCAGGTTTAGGACTTATGAGGTGAACAGGCAACAGGAATGAGGTAACTTTGAATAAAAATAAACACCAGATAATTTGTCACAAACAAGTAACTGTTTCCGTTATTCAGAAAAGTCTTTAAAACATGAGGAGAGAGTTTCTTGGCAGTCTCTGCTTACATAAACAAGCAAAAACTTCTTGGTCTCACAGATACTAAAGTTGGTGAAGGCAGGAACATTCACACAAGTTCCAGTTCCTTCCTTATTCACTGGCTAGGGATCACCCCCATCTTCTAGGACCTATTTCCCACAGACTTGATAGGAATAGGCTACACATCCCACTTTCCAACTGAGGATCCTTCTTGATCCTCTCACAGTCTGCTTTGCTCTCACATTGTTAACTGTCAACTCCTGACACTCTTAATTGAAGAATTCCATTTCAATCCTGTCACTCAAGGCTCTCAGACCTGGCCAAAACATTAACTATTTACTGTCTGTCACAGCCCCCAAAAGGCCTTTGGTGGCAGGAGAAATGGCAGGCATGGGGTTTAAGATAAGGAAAATAGTGCAGATGTGGGTGGTGCCTGCAAAAATGTATACCTTTCCATCCACATGGTGTCTAAATGTACTATGACTACAATCTTCCAAAAAAGATTATAACAATCTCAGTTGAGGACTATTTGCAGCAAAGCAGGGGGAAACCCAGAAGCAGAACACACAGAAGACACTATCATGTGGCTGCTCCCCAAAATTTCCACGTGTAAACAACTTTGGTTTGCTTTGATTTTTTTTGGAAAGATTGTCTTTACACACTCTGTAGTTGGGAAGGTACATACTTTTGAAGGTCCCACCCACATTGGCACTACGGGCCTTGCCTCTACCCCTCCACAACAACTAATGCACCCTACAGAGGGCTTTTTAAAAAGTAAGCAATTGTTGGATCATTATACTATAGTAACATTAGTCTACTGTCACAATCTTCTAGCTCCTCTAAATTCATAGCTTTCTTTTTAAAAGGTCTCTAGCTGTTTTCCCTGTAGAGATGCAGTGTAATCCCAAGCACATACCCTTCTAAGCCCATTGACTAAAATGGATGTAGAAGGCTTTAACTCTTCTTAAAAGGTAAATGTTTCCCTTGCTTGAAAGCTAGTCGAATTCGACTCTGGGGGGCGGTGCTCATCTCTGTTTCCAAGCTGAAGAGCCAGCACAGTCCGAAGACATTTCCATGGTCATGTGGCCGGCATGACTAAATGCTGAGGCGCACGGAACGCTGTTATCTTCCCACCGAAGCGGTACCTATTTATCTATTTGCAATTTCTTGCTTTCGAACTGCTAGGCTGGCAGGAGCTGGGGCCAGAGATGGGAGCTCACTCTGTCACGTGGCACTAGTTTCAGCATCTTAACCTCTGAGCCACGGTGGCTCAGAGGTTAAGACGCTGAAGCTGCAGACTGGAAGGTCTGTAGCTCGGCAGTTCAACACCCTAGTGCCGCATGATGGAGTGAACTCCTGTCTCTGACCCCAGCTTCTGCCAGCCTAGCAGTTCGAAAGCAAGAAATAGCGACTAGATAAATAGGTACTGCTTCGGTGGGAAGGTAACAACATTCTGTGCACCTCGGCGTTTTGTGATGCTGGCCACATGACTACGGAAACGTCTTCGGACAGCACTGGCTCATCGCCTTGGAAATGGAGATAAGCACTGCCCCCTAGAGTCGGATTCGACTAGCTTTCAAGCAAGGGAAACCTTTACCTTTAACTCTGCTTACGATGGCACTGATAATGTGTACACTTTTTCCATTATATATCAAGAGCAGAAAAGGGTTAGAGACTCACTTTTAAAAATTAAAGTTGAGGTTTTAGAGGAGCTAACAAAGGCTGGCAACAGATCACTATGTTATTGCTGGACAGCAATCTATCAGTTGCTGGTTTTTAAAAAAAACCATGGTGAGTGGGAAATGGCAGCTGCAGGGGGTTGAGGCAAGGCAGGCGTGTGTTGGGATTGCCATGCTGATACTCCCTTACTGCTGTTAATACCTCTTTTAGCCTTTTTTAAAAAGCTGCAGTTACTAGATCACTATAGCACACAAACACTATAATGATCTATTGCTAACAATCTACCAACTTCTCTGAATTCCTAGCTTTCCTTTAACTCATAATGGCAACAAGAGCAATGTGGAAATTTATGGCAAACTGCCATCTATATTCCAAGATGCAAAGTGGTAATATATGAAAATTATCTTGATCACGGAAGGACAAAAAGTAGAAGAGAAGAGATTGGATTTATACCCCGCCCTTCCCTACCCAAAGGTGTCTCAGAGCGGCTTACAAACTCCTTTCCCTTCCCCTCCCCACAACAGACACCCTGTGATGGTGGGTGGGGCTGAGAGAACTCTGACAGAAATTGCTCTTTTTCAAGAACAGCTCTTATCAGAACTACGGCTTGCCCAAGATCACATCAGCAGGTGTGAGTGGATGAGTGGGGGAATCAAACACAGTTCTCCCAGATTAACCACTGCACCAAACTGGCTTGTACCCCTTGGAGGGTTTGGAAACAGCCTCTCCCTCAGCCCCACCGGTTCTGTGGGAAATGGAGGGGGAGATCCGGGAGAGGCAGGTTCAGACCCCCACTCCTCTGTAGCAAGCAAGGACCCTGTCTGGGTCACCCGAGGCCAGTCACTCAGCCTGGACCACCTCACAGGATTGGTGGTGGTGGTGATGGGGAAGTCCAGTGTGCCTCCTCGAGATCCTCAGAGGTAGGATGGGGGAAGAGAGAAAATAAAAAGCAAGAGATGGATCTAAAAAAAGTTGTAAAACGTAGGCAAACCAGCGCAATCCCTGAGGTTGTTCAGTTTTAGTTATTGTAAATCACCTTGTCTCCAGGAGCAGACAGGCGGTTTTCTTTACCAGGAAAAATCCTGGTGGGCTGCTGCCCTGAGCTCCTCCCCACCAGCGGCGGGAGAGGACAGGGCCCTTTCCCAGGGCGGTTATGGCCCACTGCTCTAGAGGTCGAGCAGCTTTGAATTCAGTGGAGGTTACTTTTGGTTAAGCAAGCAGGAGGACGTTGCACGAAAAAGCAACAAGCACCTTAAGGGCACACAACCGCTTGCAGCAAACGAGATCCACTAGACGCTTTCGTAGAAATCAAAGAACTCCGTCGTGTTGCGGCTAACCCACTACACAATAAACACCCACGTGCAGATGCTCGACAGAAGAGGAAGGCGAGGGCAGCTAGTAGCTCCGCCTGTGACCGGCCTCCTGCTTGACGCCCGGCGGCTCGACGTACCGTTGGAAAGGCTGCCTTGCGCCGGTAACATCGACCCGCCCATTGCGTCGCCTTCCAAGATGGCCGCCCTAGCAACAGGGGTGGCTACGAGGAGATCGAGGCAGCAGGAGGTAACTTTCCCCCTCCCTCAGTTCCCTTCTCCATGTTATTTGTGTTCGGGGATTTTCAGTTGGTCCTCTGGAGCACTTTCTTTGCGTGGCGGATAGAGGCGTGTCGGAAACCCATGTCGGGCGGGGCACGACTGGGTTGAGAGCTTTCGGGAGAAAATGTGTATCCGCCTCGAGGAAGAATGTACGTGTTCCTTCCTGCCCAAACAGAAGAGATCCACTGTGACGTGAGCTTCTTTAGGCTACAGCCTGCATCCGATGCTGGACACGGCTTGGAAATTGGGTAAAAGTATATATAGCAGTGAAGACAAGACCGTTTGGTACGCTCAGGTTAGAGAAAAAAAATGCGAGAGAGGGCGAGAGAGAAGGCTTAATCCCATCGAAATTAAGTGTGCCCGTGCACAAACCCGTTTCAGTCTACGACAGCCGAATATAGGTGATCATCTACATGGGTTTAGAGAGACATTCTCCAGATTTACGTTCGGTCTCATGCATAGAAACTTCTGCATTCTTTAGATACGTGCAGAGAAAGCTCTTTCCATATTTGCACTGTGCCTCAAACCACCTCACAATGAAGAGAACAGCACAGCATAACTTTTTGCAGATCTGTCTGTGTGTCATCAGAGCCCTCTGGATCCCAGAATAGCTGCCCAGGATTTTTCAGTTGCTTCATTTTCAAGTTTCTCATAAATGAATTTTCCTCTGTTGCTGTAGCATCTTTGAGATAAGTTACAGTGATGAAAGTATTTGTAAGTTGTGTTCAGGCACTTTAGCATGTGACTGCTATAGAATCCATTTCTATGTTTTGTTGTTATGCTTGTGTGATGTCATTACACTGACCAACATTGTTGTGAAATGTGAATAATTTTAAGAGCAAATTAATTTTTAGCTGTTCTTCTTCCCCATTTTGATTACCCTGTATGCATTAATACTTTGTTTCTGATTAAAGTAAGTGTTCTTATGTTCTTTGTAGAATGAAAGCTCTTTCAGTACTCCAGGTGCTGATCAAAATATTTGGAACTGGCAGAGGAAAGCTGAACAGATTAAGAAAGCGGAATTCTTAAGAGAAGGAGAAAAACTAAAAATCCAGTAAGTTTAGATCTTGTAATGAATGTAGGTGCTCCAAATTAGTAGAGAACACTATTTAATGTAACAAAAGTTAAATATTTTTCAGAGATGAGAAAGTGCCTTAGAATAAATATGGATTGACATTCTTGTTAAGCGTAGATAGTTATTCAACTTCACAGTTCGTCTTCATAAAGGTCTGCTTTGGATAACTTTGACTTCTATATGAGATACAAATTTATTTTTATTTATTTAGATTATTTATAGTACACCTTTCTCACTGAGTCTCAAGTTCGATTACATAGCATAAGTCAAGCACATTCAACAGGATGGGCCATCCAATGAAAAGTACAATAGGTTTGGGACTACAGAAATCTGAAAACAAACAGAAATCTCAAACTGGACTGAAACAAACATGAAACAAAGTATAGGTGTTTAACCCTGATAGTTAAATGGTGTAGAAATAATAAGATTTCTGTTGAATATGATGCACTGAAAAAGGAGTAGAATTGCTCCATTTTGATGCCTCTCCTAAATTTTGTTTTTGTTGTTCAGTCGCACAGTCGAGTCCAACTCTTCACGGCCCCATGGACCAGATCACCCCAGGCCTTACTGTCTTCCGCCGTCCTCTGAAGTTTGCTCAATTTCATGTTCGTTGCATCTATGACACTGTCTGACCATCTCATCCTTTGCCGTCCCCGTCTTCTTTGACCTTCAATCTTTCCCAGCATCAGGATCTTCTCATTTGTTGGCCAAAGTATTTGAGCTTCAGTTTCATTATCTGGCCTTTCCAGGGAACAGTCAGGGTTGATTTCTTTTAGGATTGACTGATTTGATCTTCTTGCTGCCCAAGGGACTCTCAAGAGTCTTCTCCAGCACCATAGTTCAAAAGAATCTATTTTTCAGCGCTCGGCCTTCCTTATAGTCCAACTCTCGCAGCCATACATGACTACTGGGAATACCATTGTTTTGACCATGCGGACTTTTGTTGGCAGGGTGATGTCTCTACTTTTTATCATGCTGTTTAGGTTCGCCATCGCTTTCCTCCCAAGGAGCAGGCGTCTTTTAATTTCATAGCTGCTGTCACAGTCTGCGGTGATCTGGGATCCCAGGAACGTGAAGTCTGTCACTACTTCCACGACTTCCCCTTCTATTTGCCAAGGAGTGATGGGGCCGGATGCCATGATCTTAGTTTTTTTGATGTTGAGCTTCAAGCCCACTTTTGCGCTCTCCTCTTTTACTCTGAGCAAGAGGCTCTTTAGATCCTTTTCACTTTCAGCCATTAGAGTGGTATCATCTGCATATCTGAGGTTGTTGATCTTTTCCCCAGCAATCTTAATTCCCGCTTGTGATTCATCCAGGCCAGCATTTCGCATGATGTACTCTGCATATATATTAAATAAGCAAGGTGACAATATACATCCTTGTCGTACTCCTTTTCCTATGCTGAACCAATCAGTTGTTCCATATCCGGTTCTAACTGTCGCTTCTTGGCCCTTATACAGGTTTCTCAAGAGACATGTGAGGTGGTCTGGTACTCCCATCTCTTTAAGGACCTGCCATAGTTTGTTGTGATCCACACAGTCAAAGGCTTTAGCATAGTCAATGAAGCAGAAGTAGATGTTTTTCTGGTACTCTCTTGCTTTCTCCATAATCCAGCGAATGTTGGCAATATGATCTCTCGTTCCTCTACCTCTTCGAAATCCAGCTTGTACTTCTGGCAGTTCTCTATCCACGTACTGTTGACCCCTAGCTTGTAGGATCTTGAGCATGACCTTGCTAGCGTGTGAGATGAGTGCAATTGTGCGATAGTTTGAACATTCCTTGGCATTGCCCTTCTTTGGGATTGGAATGTATACCTTTTCCAATCCTGTGGCCACTGTTGCGTTTTCCAAATTTGCTGGCAAATTGAGTGCAGCACTTTAACAGCATCATCTTTTAAGACGTTGAATAGCTCAGCTGGAATATCATCACCTCCACTAGCTTTGTTGTTAGTAAAGCTTTCTAAGGCCCATTTAACTTCACATTCCAGGATGTCTGGCTCGAGGTCAGTGATTATACCGTCGTGGTTGTCAAGGACATCGAGGTCTTTCTTGTATAGTTCTTTTGTGTATTCTTGCCATCTTTTCCTAATCTCTTCTGCTTCTGTTAGGTCCCTACCATTTTTGTCCTTTATCATGGCCAGCTTTGCATGGAACGCTCCCTTGATTTCTCCAATTTTCTTGAAGTGATCTCTAGTCCTTCCCATTCTATTGTTTTCATCTATTACTTTGCATTGTTCATTCAGGAAGGCCTCCTTATATCTCCTTGTTTGTTAGATGGACATAATCACATAGTGGGTACTAACATCAGACCTTTTCAAAATATACTACCATAGCAAACTAACCTGTATGTACAGAGATTTTAACCAACATTCCATTTACTCTGAAATGATATTCCCATTGATTAGGATTATTCTAGAGAGTATCGTCTGTGGATTGTAGACTGAAAAGCAGCACAGACAGCATAGCTGCCACATGCTGCCAAATGTTAGTTTGCTTATTGAAATGTTTTTGATTTCCCCCTTGTGAATGTGTCCTTAAAGTTAGCCATTGGTGTGCACTTAATCGCTACCTCAGAAGTATAGGTATTTTTCCTCATGTTGTGGTAGATTTCATGAACTGATGCATGTGAGGGGCTTGCTTTGCTGTCGCAGTTGCCAGGAGGAGGAATGTAGTGTCTTGCATTTGGTGCCTGTATTGTGAGCACTGGCCATAAGTATGAGGTGTCTTATGGATATTCTGTTTAAAATGGAGCTATTTAAGGCACATTTGTTTTTGGCTTGTTACTAGAATAAGTTAAAATATCACATCCCAAGAAAATATAGGTGTACTTAAACATATTTTTCAAGTTTGATATTAAGACTAATTGAAAGAGTTTTTATTTGATGTGCTTGACGGAAAGTCTTTTAACAGAAAAACATGAACAGTGATTTTTCGATGTGTGTTGCAAAGAAGCATATGTAGGCACAAGGGGCACCAAGCAGAATTAGTTACTGTCACAGCTGCTGTTTGCTTTCTGTGTAAGCCCTGTTGCTGCTGCCCCTTTGATTAGAGAATGACCCAAATGGTTCTTACTCTTAGGATGCAGCCATTAGCAAGAGCCATTTGGTCCCATCCTGTAATCTAGGTGCAGGAACAACAGGATTTCCCTGCATTTTCCCTGTTGGAAGCCCCATTTCCCCCTCATACCACTAGGAGGCTTTTTTTTAAAAAAAATGGTAATTGATATATTGTTGTAGCAGTATAAAATTATAATGACTGGTCTATTAGATCCTCTGAATTCCTGGCTTTCAAATGAAAAAAAAGTATCTAGCTCCCTTTGTTGCAGAGGGGAAAAGGTGTATCTCTCGAATGACAAGAGCTAGACACATTTTAAAGAATGAAAGCTTGGAATTCAGAGGATCTGGTAGACAGATCATTATAACACTACAGGGATTTGCTAGGCATGCGATGGACTAAACACCATTATGAACAACATTTGTTGTTGTTCAGTCGCACAGTCGAGTCCGACTCATCGCGACCCCATGGACCAGATCACGCCAGGCCTTCCTGTCTTCCGCCGTCCTCTGAAATTTGCTCAATGTCATGTTCGTTGCATCGATGACACTGTCTAACCATCTCATCCTTTGCCGTCCCCGTCTTCTTTGACCTTCAATCTTTCCCAGCATCAGGGTCTTCTCCAGTGAGTGCTCCCTTCTCATTTGGTGGCCAAAGTATTTGAGCTTCAGTTTCATTATCTGGCCTTCCAGGGAACAGTCCGGGTTGATTTCTTTTAGGATTGACTGATTTGATCTTCTTGCAGTCCAAGAGAGTCTTCTCCAGCACCATAGTTCCAAAGAATCTATTCTTCGGTGCTCGGCCTTCCTTATAGTCCAACTCTTGCAGCCATACATGACTACTGGGAATACCATTGCTTTGACCATGCGGACTTTTGTTGACAGGGTGATGTCTCTACTTTTTATCATGCTGTTTAGGTTCGCCATCGCTTTCCTCCCAAGGAGCAGGCGTCTTTTAATTTCATGGCTGCTGTCACAGTCTGCGGTGATCTGGAATCCCAGGAACATGAAGTCTGTCACTACTTCCACGACTTCCCCTTTTACTTGGTCAGCCTCAAAAGCAAAAACCTTATTCTGGCCCTTGTTATTGCAGCTAGAATGGAACTGGTGACTCATTGAAAAAGAGTTCTTTCATCAATACAGACATGATACCTTAGAATTTGAGAAGTGGTCATAGTGGAAAAGCTGCCTTTTCAGAAGTGCTTAGCTAAGTGATTGGCAGCTGTTTATAAATGGTATTGCCATAGAGTCTAAAGGCTTGCAACTACTTGGTAATTTTTCCTCACGTTTCCTTATGTTGAATAAGGCTGTACTGTGGTTATCAGGTATAGATGGAACAAATATAGTTTTAGGTGTTGTTTTTTTACCCTTTCTTCTCTTGCTCATTTTCTGAATTATGTATGATATTTGTAAAAAATAAGCTTTTAACAAGAATTAAAATTGAAAATAATCTGGCATTTCCATTTAATTGATATAAACAAATATTAGTATAAAATGTGGGGGATACACACCATTTGTTCTACGTGGAGTTCCTTGGAGAAAGATGAAATAGATGGATGTGGTTGGTAAAATATACTTTTAAAACCCAAACTGTGTTTTCCCAGACTTATGAATATTGAAAAGGATAAAAATGGCCTTCTCTTCAACAAGAAGAGTGACTTTAGAATGGAGTACGGCATGCTAGAAGAACTGGAGTACAAACTGACTAAAAACCGGAAAGAAGAAAGTAAAAATATTCCTTTATTCCAATTTATTCATTTATCATTTTTATAATTAAATTCTTATAAATGCAGAAAGAGTTTAAACACTATAACTGCACAAAAGTTGTGGGAGACTACTGAAAGTATGGGTGTCATTTAAATGTGTACGTGTATACATATGTATCCTGCCAAAGTCATATTAAAAATGGAGGGAAATGTAAATAAGCGTAGGATTGGGCAGCATGATGAATAGTTTCATAATGCTGTTCCACAGGAGTTGCTCCATATTCTAGACAATAACACCTTGATACTAAATTATTGTTCCTTATCAACTCCATGTGCATTTAGATGTGCCCATTGAGACACTATTTAAATTGGTTTCCCTTTTTATACTAATGGAAGAGCAGCTCTACCTGTGTGTGTGAGTGCATGCAGTGCTGTCAAATGGCTTCTGACTTACGATGAACCTATGAATTAATGACCTGCAAAACGCTATATTGTTAACAGCCTTGCAATCAATGGCTACCTTTGTTGAGTCAGTCCATTTCATGTTGGGTCTTCCTCTTTTCCTGCTGCCTTCAACTTTTCCTAGCTTTATTGTCTCTTCCAGTGAGTTTGTCTTCTCATAATGTGACCAAAGTACGATAAGCCACAGTTTAGTCACCTTAGCTTTTAGGAAGAGTTCGGGCTCGATTTGATCTAAAACCCTCTTAAATTGTCATTTTGGCAGAAAATAAAATTGTTGAATCTAGTAAAGAAATTTGTGCTAAAAGAAGTAAAATATAAATGGCATATAAAATTGCTTGTCTGGGTTAAAGTAAAAGCCAGGGCAGGGGAGAGAAAAAGAGATGTGGTAGTAACAGAGTGATGCTTCAGACATGTATACATTTTTACTGGAATTTAAAATAGTGAGGCTTGTGGCCTGAGAGGGAGCACTCAGGTATCCTTCCATCATGATTCAACTGAGAGCTCCCTACTTCCAGCCAGGTATCTTTCTATCGTGTGGACTGAAGTGAATGGTAGAGAACATATCACTCCAGTCTTGGCCAAACTGCATTGGCTTTCAGTTTATTTCCAGGCACAATTCAAGGTACTGCTCTTGACCTTCAAAGCCCTATATGGTTTGAGACCAGCATATCTTAAGGACTGCCTAATCCCTTTGGAAAGGTTGAAAGGTTTGTTTTAAAAAAATCTGTTTTCCTAAAAAAATAAATAAATCTCTATTTTCCTAATCCCTTATGAACCCATCCAACCATTACAATAATCTCAGTGGCCTTGCTTCATGTTCCTCTGCCTTCTGAGCAAAGGTGGGTGGCAACCCGGGAAAGGACCTTCTCAGTCATGGCATCAAAGCTCTGGAACTTTCTCCCTAGGGAGACTAGTCTGTCCCGTTCTGTTTCCAGCATCTGCTAGTGTGTAGACTTTTTTGTTTTGTGTGGCATTTTCTCAATGATCCTTCCTTCCTAACCAATGTTGTACTTGTTTTTTGGTGTGTTTTGTATTTTAATTCTGTTTTCTTAACTTTTAAGTAATTGTTTTAATGATGCATGTTTTGGGAGGTGATTGATTTTAATGGTTTTATCATGTAGTTTTACCATGTATACTTTAAATTGTTAGCCATCTTGATGGCCCTTGTAAGGGCAGAAAGGTGGGATACAAAATCTGAAATTAGATAAAGACAAGGGGCGGACCCGCGATACTCGCGGGGGGGAGGGACCTCCACACATGAGGCAGAGGAGGAAGCAGCAGGAGGAGGTAAGTTCCCCCCATCCCGCCGGTTCCTCCCCCGTCGAGGGCCGAGCGGCTTGCCGCTCGTGCCTCGCTGCTTGCCGCTCGTGCCTCGCTGCTTGCCGCTCGTGCCTCGCTGCTTGCCGCTCGTGCCTCGCTGCTTGCCACTCGTGCCTCGCGGCTGTTTCCCTCCCCCCTGCCGCCTCCGAAGCAGTGAGGCAGGTCACAGAGCGTTCCCTGCTGCAGGGGACGCTCTGATACTTTTGGGGGGATTTAAGTATCCCCCCAATATTTTTTTTAAGGTTTCAGATTTTTTGTGCACACTTGGGGACTGCCCCAAATGTGCACAAACATCTCCCTCCTCCCCAGGTGCCCCCGATGTGCGGAAATAAGTATCCGCACGCCAGGGGGCGACTTCGGAATTAGATATATAGATTGAGACTGAATTAAAGTTATGTTTTAATTGATAGTTGCATATGTGTATGCTTTAATTGCTTTAAGCTATTTTAGATGCCATATTGTAGAGGCTAACAATTGAGGTAAAATGCAATAAAATAAGAATGACTCAGGAAAAGGTGGAAGGAGAAATGTCTCTTATTATGTGGAAAGTGAACCGAAATTGTTATCAATGATAAAGTCGTATGTGAAGTCGTATGAAACAGATAATCAAAGTGATCAGACTTGAAAAGGGCTTAGATAATTTAGGGTTTCTAAAAACAGTATAAAAGGCAATAAATATAAGTGATAATGACATGGCTAAAATGAAACCACATTTTCTTCCATAGAAGCTAAAATCCAGCAGCAGCTGACAAAAATTCATAATAACGTTAAGGGGCTTCAGCGGCAGTTGAAAGATGCGAAACCAACCCCAGAATGTAAGTCTTAATGGTTTTGCAATTTAACCTTTGTCTGTCTTAGCAAAGAAGCGTTATTGGCATTTTCCTAGTATGTAAATTTGAAAGAGTTTTCAGTGTGGGCTTGGATGACCCTGATTTAAATTGATGTGAACTCCAACTGAACCTCCAAATGTTGCAGTGCTGTGACTACTTTTTTTCCTGCTGTCAGGTCACAGCTGATTTCTGGTGACCTCATGGGGTTTTTCAAGGCAAGAGGCATTCAAAGGTGGTTTGACATTGCCTACTTCTGGGAAGCAAACTAGGACTTCCTTGGTGGTCTCCCATCCATGTAGTAACCAGGGTCGATCCTGCTTAGCTTTCAAGATCTGACAAGATTGGGCTAGTCTGGGTGTTCACATCAGGGGTGTGCCCACTTAGCAGGGAGAAAATCACATTGAAGACTGATCATGATTTCTGAGTAAGTATGTGTAGGATCACACTGAATGTAATTTTGAGCTTCAGGATGTTGCCCAGCTGTCATTTTTAATGAGGATTGCTAATTTGTATTCATTCTACTTTAGCTGTCATGGAAGAGTTACTTCATCTACAGTTTTGTAACTTGATGCTAGGTTTTCTGTTGATGATGACAATGTAGCTGTCCTGAGTGTGAGTTCATTGGATGTTGGGATTTTAATGTTCATTGAAGGATATTAGGAACAGTGTGGGATGTTAGTGTGAGCAGATATTTCCTAGAATTTCTTTATTCTTTAAATTGAGCTGAATTATCAAAGTTACATTTTCTTTAGCATGTTACATGAGAACTGCTGTATGTTATTAATGTTACTTTTCTTCTGTCTTGCAGTTGTTGACAGACTCAAAGAAATTATGGAAGAGATTGAAAATGCAATAAACAACTTCAAAGAAGAACAACGACAAATGTATGCTGCCTCCCTTGGTGCTAAACCTGACTGTGGTTAAAACGTATCAGTTTGTAGTTTTTCATTTTTTCTCTTTGATTTTACTATTTTGTTTTATATTTTTGATTAATGGAAGAAAGTGTGTATGTGGCCATAGGAATAGGTCTAAATGTTTTGTATTTGTTGTCTCTTAAAAACCAAATTAAATTCTAGACGTTATACCACCCTCTTTTGAAAATGATTAGGTTTCCTGTGGAGAACTGTGCATCAGTTACCTCTGCCAGGAAGACTGCTCTTTGTCTCAGCCCGTAATTTGCAGTACAAAAACACTAAATCTGACATAACCTACAGGAATGTTGTAAGAATGACATATGTGACGCACCCTGGAAGAACTATGTAATACTTGATTTGTTTCCATATTTCAGGATTTTTAGCTTAGACTTTTAAAGTTTCTCAATTTCTACATTTTCAGTAAAATATATTTATTTGCATTTTTATAGATAAGAGCAGTATATGACCATTTAAAAGCAATGATTATTGGCCAGGATCTACAGTACAATCCTAAGTACAGTTATACGCTTCTGAATACATTGAAGACAGTGAACTTTGAAGGGTATAGCTTTGCTTAGGCTTGCAGTGCCCCAAAGTATGTTAAATACACCCAGAAATCTTTGTGACCCCATTGGGATTTTTGACTGAACAGCTACTAACTGCTATTTCAAATCCCCTGGTTTCAAAGGCAGCACAAGAAGCTACATTTTATGGAATACAAGACAAAACTGCAGAATTAACTGTGTTCCTTTAGATTTTGGCTCTAGTTGCTAAGACTATAAGATAGTTATTTTGCTAATCAATGGATGGTTTATTTGTTTATTTTGTTTTGTTTTATTTTACAGATATGAGGAGCTTATAAGGGAGGAGAAGACTTCTACTAATGAGCTTAATGCCTTGGAGAGAAAAATTGAAATGTGGACATTAGGTACTTCAGCAACAGAAAAAAATTTCAGGCAAGGCAAAGTTCCAGTAGATAAAGAGAATCAAAATAATCTGCCCAATGAAGTACTAGAGCTTGAAAAGTTTCTTCAGCAGACAGGAGGAAAATATGGGGGGTGGGATGAATATGATCATCAGGTTTTTCTGAAATTGTGGACAAAACATAAAGGAAAACAATTGTATATGGAGGAAGCCCATGATTATTTCCCTGAAAGGAAAAAAGAGGATATTCAGCAGCATGAGAAATGGTATCAAGAATTTCTAAATTTAGAAGCAAGAAAAAAGGAGGTAAGAACTTTGCTGAACTGTATTTGCATTTTTAAAAGCAATATGTGTCAGAAATGATACAGAAAGATTACATTTTTTCTCATCTCACTGGCTATAATGCAATGGCTTTTATACTTTAGCCCATAAGCAAGACCTTGTAGACTGCTGCACCATTTTGACAAGAGAGCATATTATTGGGCTCTTGCAGTGACCAAGATCATGGATGACCCCTTCTTTGGGCTAATTGTTGGGTTCTGTGGAGGACCCCCCCCCCCGTCCATTGCCCCATTTGTGTTCCCACAGAAAGTACAGCTCCCCAGGAACCTGAACACTCACCACTTGATAGTAAGGTTTTTGTCTCATCACTAGTGTTGTTGGTTTTTATGTACACCTGGGGTTCACCTCGGTTGAGAGGTCTAGCCTCAGGTAAATATCATTTCTTGCTCCCTTTCATAACTGTACCTTCAGGAAAGCTGGTCATGAGGCTTTAGTGTTTGCTATTTCCTGTAAAGCTGCTAAGTGTTGGTTGAGTACAGCTGCACTGTTGTAGCTACCATTCTTACTGCAGTTACTTCACTGATTTGTGCTTCTTCTGCCTCTGTTGACCCTCTTCTGCTTACCGTGGTGCCTAATGATGAAATGACTGCTGTCGCTATGGTTACTGATGATTCTTTGGTTCCCTCCCTAGCTAGGAGGGAGCTCACTGTGAATACTGCTCTGTTTCTACTGTCTCCCAGATAATTCTGCCCCTTTTATAGGCCAGTGCAGAAGCTGATGTTGCTTATCAGTGCTGAAATCCCACTATTTCTGGCCACCTGTGTTTACTTGCATCTGGGCAAGCTGAACCTGGGAAGTGGTACATGGTCCTACAAGGGCCATACCAAAACACAACCTTCTTACCTTGTACTGGCATACTGATAGAGCAGGTTGGTTATTTTGTCAATGGAAACAAACATTTTGAAGAAGAAAAATGTTTAACCAAACCATATTTTATGATACAAAGCATATGCATTGTTTTTGTGTAGTAAAGTTGTTCTGATCATGAACATTTTCATGCGGATTAAAGGCTTGTCTGTATATTGTAGCTGCTGCCTTACTTTAGGAATAAGATCCATTTGACATCTAAAAGGATCAATCTGTACGTTAGACCTGTGAGCTCAAATATATATATATAAGATTTGTGCTGATACAGAGAAAACTGTGTCAGCTGACACATTGCATTTTTCTCCATAAAAGACTTGCCATACGTTAATGTCCACCATGCTGAGCAATTTACAAAAGCCTGTATTAGACTTGCAGTTTAAGGATGGGATTAAATTCCATATGTTTAAATTTGGGCTTCTATCTTCTGCTGTTCAAATAGGGGCAGGAATAGAGTTGTTTGCAACAACAAAGCTTTGGACAGGTGAAGGGCACTTTGCACACATAATAAGGCTATAGAACCTGCAGTGGAGGAAAACAGCTGGTAGAAGAGAGAAGAGAAAACTGCAGTATAGGGGAAGAATTAGGTGCCATTCTCCTAAAAAACTTCCCTACTACAAATTGTGCTTCCCTTGCCTCAAATTGCAAAAAGGAAGCAGTGACGGCTCTTTAAAGCTAATGAAATAGAAAGCATTGTTTTGCTTCATATACCACTTATGCTACTGTAGCAGTTTAAAAACAAAACAAGAGCACTGCAACTATGTAACCAATCACTGAAAAGCTCTTAAGTGGCAGGTGCTCGTACATATTGGTAGGTAACTACTACTTTCATTTGGTACACGCAGCACAGGGATGTTAACTTAGCAAACAAAATAATGAAATTCTGTCAACCTATCATCTGTATTTATGGCTATACAAATATCTAAATGCCTGGTTTCCTATATTCCTTAAAGCTTGAAGATGAGGTCTAAGAATTTGAAATAGTTTCTTCAGTCCTGATAGTATCCTTTCAGAAAATTAGAATTAGCATGACAGTACATGAAATGTAATTTAGTTTTGTTGTTATATCCTAGTCTATTAAAAAGTGGAAGATGAAAAAACAACAGGAAAGAGAGAAAATCTTAGCCCCAAAAGAGAGCCCAGAAAAAGTGCACTCCTCAAATCTTCAGTGGGAAAAAGTTCAGAAGCAAAAGGCTGAAGAAGAAAGGAAGAAGCGTTTGGAAGACCTTGAAAGATGGAGAAGACAAAAAGCAATAGAACACGCAATGAAGCAAGCTGTTCGACTCAAAGAAGAAGAAGAGAAGGAGAAGAAGTTGCAGAGAGAACGAGAACGGCAGTTCCAGATAAAGTTGCTGTTGGAAGAGTATGGAAGGCAGAAAAAGGAACAGGAAGAGCTTGTAAGGCTTGAAAAAGAGAAAAGAGAGGAAGCTGAAAAGGAAGAGAGGAAAAGAACTGCTGCAGAAGAAATTCTTAAGTTTCAAGAGCGAGTGAGTAGTCTTGTTTGTAATTTGTGTGTCTATAAGTTTTTATTATTTTATTAATCACATTTGTACCCCACCCTCCCTGCAATGCGGGGCGGCTCACAATTAATGCATAAATGCAGTTAAAACAAAATCATATAAAAACAATTCCATTATTAAAACAGTTTCATAAAGTGCTGAAGATAGTTATTCAAGATGGCTTATTTTGGTGCACCTTCTAAGAATCAATCTGCTCGAGCTCTTCCTACAGCACAGGCTAGTTGTTAAAGACCAAAGGCCAGGGCACTATAGTAGTGGTGGCTCCCTAGCTGAACGCCTGGTGGAAGAGCTCCGTCTTGCAGGCCCTGCGGAACTATAAGAGGTCCCGCGGGGCCCTGATCTCCTCTGGGAGCTCATTCCACCAGGATGGGGCCGCCACTGAGAAAGCCCTGACCCTGGTAGTTGCGAGCCTGGCGTCCTTAGGGCCAGGGAGGGCCAGTCGGTTTTGAGACCCCAACCAAAGTGCTCTCTGAGGTATATATGGGGAAAGGCGGTCCCGCAGGTATGTTTGGCCCAGGTAAGAACCAGCACCTTGAAGCGGATTCGGTATGCTATTGGCAGCCAGTGTCGGGTCCTCAGCACAGGCTGGATGTGCTCCCACCTGGGGAGGCCCATCAAAAGCCTGGCTGCAGCATTCTGCACTAGCTGTAGCCTCCGAATCTGCGTCAAGGGCAGCCCCATGTAGAGAGCGTTACAGTAGTCTAGTCTTGAGGTGACCTTAGCGTGGATCACTGTTGCTAGGTCAGCGTGGTTGAGGAAGGGAACCAACTGCCTGATCAGCCGAAGATGATAAAAGGCCGACCTGGCAGTGGCCGCTACCTGGGCCTCCATTGTTAGGGAGGCATCCAGGAGAACTCCCAGACTCCTAACCTCTGACGCTGGCACCAGCGGCGCCCCGTCGAAGGTCAGGAGTGGGATCCCCACCCCCGAACCGCCCCGACTCAAGCACAGGACCTCCAACTTAGTTGGATTCAGTTTCAGCTGACTCAGCCTAAGCCAACCAGCCACGGCTTGTAATGCCCAGTCCAGGTCTTCTGGTCTGGAGTTGGACCGGCCACCCAACATCAGATAGAACTGGGTGTCGTCAGCATACTGGTGACACCCCAGCTCTTGCCTCCAGGCAATCTGGGCAAGGGGGCGCATACAGATGTTAGATAACATTGGGGAAAGCACTGCCCCTTGAGGCACTCCACAATCCAGTGGGTGCCTCTTGGACTGCTGTTCCCCTAGCACCACCCTTTGTCCCTGACCTTGGAGAGAGGAAGCAAGCCATTGTAAGGCAAGTCCCCGGATTCCTATGTCAGCGAGGCGGCGGACCAGTAACTGATGGTTGACTGTGTCGAACACCGCCGACAGATACAACAGCATCAACACCACCGATACGCCTCGATCCAGATGCCTACGAAGGTTGTCCGTGAGGGCAACCACTGCTGTCTCTGTCCCATGACCAGGGCGAAAGCCGGACTGGAAGGGGTCTAAAATGGAAGCGTCATCCAAAAAGCTCTGTAGCTGACTCGCTACCCTCCTCTCTTTTAATTTGCCCAGATGTGCTTTATATTCTATCTGTGTGATGCCACAGAACTAATAGGCATTTAATAACAATTAATAACAATTAACTGTCTATATGAAATACTGATGTGGCGTCCTCGCTTATTGGGGAGACTTTCTCCTTTAATTCACACTCTGTGTACATGAACTTAGTAGATTTCTGCTGCCACCAGGAACTAAAAATTCCAAATCTCTCTATTTTGGTAGAATGATCCAGTCTCTGGGCGCTTCAGAGGACTATGTGGCCCTGAGGAAGGGCTGTTCTGATTGCTGGGATAAGTTTAAACAAATAAGGATTTGTTTATAAAAGAACAAAATAGGTTTCTGGGTAATTTGAAACCGTTGTTGAAGAAAGAAAACACAACTGACAAGGCTTGGCGTCACACACAGTCTCTCATACACCAACACTCTGACAAGTTTAGATACTCAGTCTAAACTCTCTCTCATATATATAGCCACACAGGCTGAACTATCTTGCTCATAGCTACACAGGCTGAACTCTCTTGCTCATTTAGCCACACAGGCTGAACTCTCTCTCTCATATAGCCACACAGGCTAACTAAACTCCAACTGCTTCCTCTGCCATACAGACTCTCACACACTCCACACTCGTCTCTTCGTGAACACTGAATCACCTCAGAGACATCTCTCCTCCCACACTCTCAGTCATTAGCCAATTACATCACACTTATCTCCCTCTATCACTCTCCTTATATTAGTGCAGTCACATTAAACATTTAAAGAAACATACACACCAAAATATGAAATCATTACAACTGGATATCATTAAAAATGCCACCCCATGCATTCACAATTCTGTGAAGAAAGCGGGATGTACTGTACCCATTGATGTAGTAGAGCAGCAATTCTCTGAACTGTTTTGCTGCTCATGGCACAAGTGTCAATAGGGGTGCAGTGACAGCTTTTTTCTTGACTTGCTCTCTAGCTCCTGCTGTGGACGTAAAAAAGGATGGTGCTGTAGAGGTTGGATCTCAGAGTTGTATAGGCAAGCTCTGCAGTATCTGAACAGGTCTGAGGATCCTGAGGGCTGTTTGGGGGGACTTTTTTCAGACATACTTCTTCCTTCAAAGGCATCAATTAATTTTTTTTTTTTGATCAAGTGCCTGGCAAAGCATGAAAAAAAAAATTTTTTTTAATCTAACACGTCTGCAATCAATTGCCTTCTGGCCCAATAGTCTCCTCTGACAGTACAGGGCTACAAGGATAATCTGTTTCTGCATGACTGGAATTCATCACTTTTGCAGCGCAGTTCTGAGGGGGGGATGGTGGAATCGCCACAGGGAGCCGATGACCCAAACGCCAATGTAACCCCTGTATAAGGGTCATTTAATGCTGGTGCAGGCCACTAGTGTCACTGCTTCGCTCACTACCACCAGCACAGCCAAGACACGGCAGCGCGCTGGCAGACCTCTGGTGCAACCTCCTGTCCTGGTGGTTCAGTGGGTGTGCTGGGGTGTGTGGTGGCATTAGGTGGCTCCCTAAGAACTTCCAGTGTGGGAATGTCCCCCTGAACAGGTACAAAGTTGCTCTGGTAAAAAATGCTGGCATACCCCATTGGCTCCCATGTTAAGTCAAAATCCACCCCTCACAAACATACTGCTGTGGCCATGCCCATGGGAACCCAGGAAACTCAGGATACTGATTAAGAGTGTACCCAATCAGCACCCTTCCCCATGCCAGCTGCACCCCTCCCTAGCACCCAATCATGGTCGCTCCCCGCCCTACAAATACTTCCTGCAGGTCGCCCCACAACTCATGAGGTAGGGTGTGCAGTATGGGATACTGTTTGACAAACTCTTTGCTGTGCAGACTTAAAACAAGCGCAGATGCTGCTTCGTGGCATGGAAAACACAGAGGGGGGCACTGAGCACCACTGGGCGAGCAACAGGGGTGGGGAAAAGGGTGGCTTGCTTACCTGTTCATGTACAGAAGAGAACAAAGTCCACACTTCACGGCTGATCTTTCCCAGCTTTTGGCCCCAACAGGTACCCCATCTCCTCTCTAGGGATCCTGCAAGGGCTGTCTGGATCCCAGCAACCCAGGGAATATTTGGGTATGCAAATCAGGGAATGGAACTAAACAAAGCAGTGTATAAAGAGCGCTGTTGGGAGCTGGTTGGTGTTGTGGCCATTCTGAGCATAAGCCCTCCCACTGGTCCTCCAGGGAATTGTCTACCAGGAGGGAAAATGCTGTTGCTACGGGTGCCAGGTGGGCTGCTTGCAATGATCTCAAAGCCTAGTGCCTACAGAGCTAGGAATGCCCACCCTCCTTGATTTATTTCACTTTTGTGGGGATTGATCAGGTAGGTATCAGGTTTAAACTTGGCAAGTAAACAGGCAACAGGAATGAGGTAACTTTGTATAATTATAAACAATAGTTTGCCACAATAAAGTACCTGTTTTGTTATATAGTCATATCTTTAAAATTGTGGATAGAGAACTCTTGTCAGTAAATGCTTAAATAAACAGGCATAAGCTTCTTTGTCCTGATATTACTAAAGTCTGTGAAGGGAGGAACATTCACACAAGTTCCAATTTTCCTTCTTAAAACACTTGATATAGATCACCACCTTTTACTAGGAGTTATTTTTTTTAGGGAAGGACTACTTGTCCCACTTCCTTCATTCAGGATCCTCTCTGTATTTTTGACTCTGAGCTCTTCTGCATTGTTATTTTTGTCACTTGTTTGTCCATATTGCTTTGGGTCCCCCCTTCCCTTTTCCACATGTGTTTTGCTCCCTCTGGGACTACTAGAGGGAGCAAAATACATTGGGGGGGGGGAACCTTGAATCTATAGGGACAAACGAGTGACAAAAATGACAATGCGGAAGAGCCTTCTGCTTAACTGACTTAACTGAACTAACTGTCACTCTCAACTGTAATTGTAAACTATGTTTGTCTGACTGAGAAAATGGAGTCGGCATATGATAATGAGGAATCTGATCAGAATAACGAGGAGATAGACCAGAATACAAAAGTTGGAGACCTTACATGGGACCAATTCAAAGAAATTTTGACAACAGAAATTGGGCAAGCTGTTAAGTTAGCCTTCGAGAATTTTGCTGAAAATTACCAGAGCTGTTGTTGGGAAGCGAAGGAAAATGGAGATCAGCTGCAAGCACAGCAAAGTCTGGGCAAAGCTCGGGACTGTGATCAGGAGAGAGAGCCATATGAAGTTGGATTATTGATTATAGAAAACGAGACTCAGGTGGCTGAGACCACTAAATGCTATCTGAAAGAGTCAATAAAGGTGGAACTTGAAGCTGTGAAAAGACCAGTCTTAAAGACCCTCAGGGGAAAAAAAGAGGAAGAAGGCAAGAGAAAAAGATCTAAGGGCTTGTGGAAAAAATCATACGGCTTTCAAAAGATTGTTGTGTAACTTAAGGAAACACGGAAGAATATTTCAGGATTACAAAAACCAACAACATTTAGAGGAGATTGAAAAAAATAAAGAAACACTAGAGAGATGGGGGGGAAATGATTCAAAATTATGTTCAGTATTGTAGTATATTTATTTGATATAAATGGCTTGTATGAGATGGAAATGGAATGTAATACTACTAGAATGAAAAGTCTTTTAGTAGAATAGAGAGAACAAGAGTCATTGTTAGACAAATTTTAAAATAGGTGAAGGGGTAATTACACATTATTGTAGGCTGTAGTCCCAAATCTGTGCTGGACTTGTTTTTCTTTATATTTGTCTTATTATTATTTGAGTTGATGTTGATATATAAAGTTCTAAATGTATTGGGGTTTCAATTAGGAAAAATATGTAATTAAAAATGTTTGTTAATATAGTATATTTCCTTAATTAGTACATATGAGTGTTGAAAGAAAGAAATGGATTGTACTGTTATTATTACAAAAAATCCTAAATTTATGTTATACTCCCCTCCCTTGTTTCTTTACCATACATTTATCAAAGGAATAGGGATTTGTTGGTAGATAAGTTTATTAGTATTTTTTGAAATTTAGTTATTTTAAATATATGTTGTTACAGTAATTGACATTGATATTGGAATAACAAGTACTACAGATATTGAGAAATGAATTTAGATTTTCTATGTGACCTTCTATATGGTTATTCATTGTAGACCCAGATAATGTATAACCTAAAATATGAATGAACTCAAAGTATTTGTCATTAAATGATCTAAATAGATAATAGGATTATGATTACTTAAGTAACTTTTTTGGCTTTATAGATAGGAAGATTTGTTAGCAGTAAAGTTGGTATGACGGTTAATGAATTACTTTGTGGGAACATTTAAAGAATAACTTGAGATACGTAATATGTGATGTTAGTTAGAATGGTTAGATAGAATGGTAGAAATTTATAATTAACCAATCTGTATAATCATTGCGATGTGTTGAGAAGTCTGTTTATGGTTATGTATATAATTTCCTTTTTCTTTTCTTTTTAATATTAATAGATTATAAAAAAGCCACCCATTATACCATTAAATATAGAGGATTCTTTTTATTGTTAGAAATAAATGTTTCTTTTGTTGTATTTTTTCAAGGATCTGCATAAACTTGAGCTTAAGATTCTAGAAAAACAGATGAAGGAAGAAGAAAAGATGGAAAAAGAAAAAAGATTGTCCAAGTTGAGAGAAAAGGTAACACTAATTTGTCATGCAGCCCAATCCTATGCATGATTTCTCAGTAAGGCACCCTGAACTGTGCATAAGATTCCTGCCGTTATATTTCATTTTAAAGAGAAGATGCGATCTAGCTTGGGAACATTTCCTTGAGAAAATATGAGACAACTACGTTCTTTAAAGGGACCAGGTTCACAGTATGGGGTATTTCTGACCCAGTCCTGATGCTTAACCACCTGCGAACATCTCTCACTCTGACTTGATGGCATTTTCCACCACTACCATTTTTTTAAAGGACAGACATTACAGGTGTGCATTCAGATCTTCCTGAGCTGAAAGTATACCTGAAAAATACCTTATCTGTATTTTCCTGGTATATTTTGGCATTCTAAAAGTATCAGGGATTTTTTGGAAAACTGAAAAAAAATCCCAGATTATTTTTGGGAACTGGGAAGATCGGGAAAACAGCTGAGAAGCTGGGAGACTGTTCCCTGCCTCCTAGCTCTTTCCTCCCGCCCCTTCTCTGCAGTCCCTTTAAACCAGGCTGGTTTAAAGGGACTACAGAAAGAAATTGGGGGAAACAGCTGAGAGGTGGGGAGTTGCTTCCTCCCTGCAGCTCAGCTGTGTTTTGTGGCTATGTTGCTCCTGTTTTTTCCTCCCTGTTTTTTTCCTCTTGTGTCTATTGTGTCTATTGGACCTGAAAAAATATGGGACTTCAGAAAAATCCCACGTTTGAATACTTTTCTGGTATTGGGATCTGGGATTTTTCGGAAACCCTGAATTTTTTTTGGGTCCAATAGACCTGAACCCCAAAAAAGGGGGGGGGGAGAGAAATTGTACACCCTTAATAGTCATACATTTTCCCTCAGCCTTTTTTTCTAAGCAGGTATTACACACTGATTGCTAGGTCTCATTCTTTGGCCCTGATACTCAAGTTTTGGGGCACAGTCTTAAGGTTGAGATCTCAGGGTCATTAGCTAGCCCATATAATGCTTTTGTGTCTGCCTACTTCTCATAACTATTGCATATGTGAGCTCAGAATGGGAGTCAATCATGTACCAACAGTTTAGTAACTTTGTATGTTTAGGCGCACAGTTCATTCCATGTTTTAAAAAAACATTTATGCATAGTGAATACTGTTTTTTCGAAGTCACCTATCTTTGTCCACACACATTAACAAATGCTGTATGATACATTTCTTAGTAGGAAAATACTACCATTACTAATGATATTCAATGTGACATTACTGGCTCCTGCCTCATGAGGCTCAGTGTTTGGCATGCTGGGGACAGTGAGGAAAAGTTTGTAGGTTAAATCCTACTGCCAGAGGTGCAGCACACAGTGCCCTTTATTTTGATTGAACATGTACTTGGGGGACCCCCTGGGTTTGCAGAAAAATCTGAAATCTTAAAGAAAATGCATTGGAGGGGGTTAAATCCCCCCAAACACACTTACCTTGATTCTGGGGAGCTGGTGGTTCTAAGCCCAGCGGTGGGCAATGGGAGCCATGGTGGGCCCAACAGTGGATGTGCTCAAAGGTGGGTGCTGAGGCCTGGAGCTGTGCTGGCTCAGCAATGTGGGGGGGGGGATGGGACAGGACCCTCTGTGATTATCGCAGGCCCCCACTTGTTAAGTACTATAGATGGCTTAGGAAGCATCTTAAGCCTGTCTTCTTGAAGTAAGTCCCATTTTATTTAGTGGAATTTGTTCCCAGGATTGTGTTCTTAGGATGGCACTGTGAGTTACTACCATAGAAATTTCCCCCCCAGAAAGATGAAAACTTGTGTTCCATGGTTTTTTTAAAAAAACTGGAAGCTGTACATCTCTGCTCAAGTATGAAAAAGTCAAAAGCATGACAAACTGATGGCTACATTTTTCACTTCTAGAACAAAACAATGCTATCCTAGGCCCGTCTACTCAGAATCTTTCAGGTGAGATACCAAACTGATATTCACAGTTACATTTTCTGATTTAAAACATTAATTTCAAATAGGTTGAAATGAATGTATCTCGAGACCCATGTAGGCTGTACAAACCTACAAAAGTTTGGGAGGAACGAACGAAAGAGATTGGACCAGTGGGTGCAGAGCCACTTATGCATATTCCACACAGGTAAAGAATTCTATTAAAATATATAAACATCTTTTCATTTCATTACAAGATACTCACTCTAATTTATTTTTATAGGGCTGTCCCAACCTGGCGACAAGGGCTATAGCTGGATGTCTGCACAGTTTTACTGGAAAATGCATACATGTATGTGTAAAGTGTCTTATCAGATCATTTCATGGTTTTCATTACTGGATAAAGGGATTTCATTTTGTATTAAGGATGAAGTTACATAAATGTGAATTTTATGTTATGCTAAAGAAAAGATCAAACACAAATACAAAAAGGCTGTATATAAAAATAAGTCAATTATTTCTTAGATCCTTTGCATATTGCTTTCTTACTTTCAGAAACCAAAGTTCTCATTGACGCATAGTATTTTCAAAATAAAATTTGTTACATTATTTCTTCTTCAGCTTGTTTATTGGCTGACACTCATGTACCTCAGTTTACCATAGAAATGTACATTGCTGATAGATACATTTGGTGTTCAGATCTCAGACTTCTCAGGTGGGGAGGTAGATCACCCTAAGGAGTGCTGGGAAAATATGAATTATTTTTTAGCTGCCTCCGAGACAAACTGTTAAGTTGCCAGTTTTGACTTCCACATTCCAATCTATATCAAATAGTTATGTTCTGCTTTACTTTGAATGGTATCTTGCAGAAGCAATCTCTCATACTTTTCTGTAGGGTTTTTAATTCTGTAGAGCAGGAACTCTTAAACTGTGGTTTAGAGCATACTTTCTGGTAGCTTGCAAGACAAGGGGTTGAATCCAACAGTGGCCTAGAATTATTATCATTATTTATTTGGCTATTTATATCCTGCTCTTCTTGCTGAGACTCAAGATGGATAAGCAGAAACCACATCTCACTGAATAGGATGGGTGGGGACTGATAACTACACACCCTCTTCCCTAGCTGCTGCCCCTTCTCACAAAACCATTCTGGAGCCTTGTTATAAGGGCTTCCAGAGGGAGGATGCAGGGAGGGTATGTTCTGCCAATAGAACTGAACTGCCATATGATAGTATCCAAATAATCAGAAACATAGAGTGATATACAGAAGGCCTTTTCCAGAACATATGCCGCTAAATATTGAATTAAAACTGAAGTTCTCTTGCACTGTAGAAAAGCTGAACTCAATATATGTGAGAAAGAGAGGGGAAATATTGCTAAGTTCTGGGTAACTGTTTCAAAGTTTGCATCTGTTTTATATCCAGGCCTTTAATAATAATAATCTTTCAATTTATTAATCACTCAATCCTGCAGAGCTGCTGGCTCTGAGTGATTTACAGATACACATTCACAAGGGACTAACAATGATTCATAGGGGTAAGGGAGGACAACACATATAAATCTTTAAATCGCACATGTTCGCAGCCAACGGGGATTTTGTTTCAGCTGTAGACTAGACATGTTCCAGATGGCATTTTCCCCTCTGCTTGGTTTGATGACGTCAGCTTTTCTCCAGGACTGCTTTGAGTCACAACGCCGCACTGCCACTGCCTGGCTGGAACAGCCTTCTTGATGCCGAAGAGATCTTTCTAGGCTTCCGATCTTACGAGCTGGACATTCCATTCGTCAGCTAACACCTCCCCCGCCAGGGGGTTTAGTGTGCCCACCCTCTCTAAGGAGTGGTACCCATTTTATCTACTCACCGAAGCTTTTGAACTGCTGGGTAGACGGTGAGCTGGTGACAAGACTGGTAGCTCACACCAGCACGGGCTAAAACTGACAGCAGTTCTGTTCAGCTCAGATGTTACTTATAACCAGAGGATAAATCCCCTGTGCCACCACCAGTTTTCCTCATTAGCTGGAGGTAAACAATACACAGTCAGTGCTGGGAGGGGGGAGTGGAAGTAGTCCATGGTGGATCCATCTTTAAGAAAGTTGATGTGGTAGTGGACAGTGCCATCTAGTTGCAACTAACTTATATAGCGATCCTATAGCATTTTCAAAGCAAAATAAGTTCAGAGGTGGTTTGCCATTGTCTGGCTCTGGGTTGTGACCCTGGACCTCTTTGGTAGTCTTCCAGCCAAATACTAGCCAGGGTCAATGTTGCTTAACTTTGGAGATCTGACAGTCGGAGTAGCCTGTGCTATTTAGGTTGGGGAGGGGGGAACCAATGCTGCAGCCTGCAGACGACCCATTATAGTCACTGGCCATTCTAGAAACAAGTCTAGAAGAGGAGAACGTAAGGAGTCCAGTTCTAAGATGAGTTTGTGACTATAGGATCGTTAAGGATCATCGGGCTCCCTACGAGACCCACATAAAGCTGTAGCCTCCGTTATGCTGTATTTTCCCACGAAGATTCATATCTATCCTATGGAAGTCTCAGGGCCTTTGTATACATTCGGCTATTGCCATCCGTGCCGAAGGCTTGCATTGGAAGCGCTCAGCGTGGTGAACAGCCGGCCGCAAACCGCGCAAGCTGTTGCGAAACTACTACTCGGTTCCCGCCGCTAAAGCCGGGCCCCGCCTCCCCGCCGCAGGGGCGGGGCCGACCGCCTCCTCCGGCTGCTCCTCCCGTGAGCGCTGATACCCCAATTAGAAGAGCGCGCGGCCCGTGCCACGTGACTGGATGCTGCCGGCGGCGGACGTTGCGCGCGAGGCTAGGGGAGCGGTTGGCCAACATGGCGGCAAGCGCTGTGCTCGGGGAAGTAGAGGGGGGCTTCGGCGATGGGGAGCGGCTGGATTTCCTCATGGAGCGGCACGTGCGGTTCTTCCAGCGCTGCCTCCAGATCTTGCCCGAGCGCTACTCGACCTTGGAGACAAGCAGGTACGGGGAGGGAGAGCTCTCGAGCGGTGCCATCGAATGCGGGGCTCTGAGGCGCCCGGTAATTGTGACCTGAGATGACCGAGCATCCGGTCAGACTCTCTGTGGGGGGGGGGGGCTCTTCCTCTGACTGCTTCTCGTGGTCTGTGGTGCGAAGGGGGTCGCAGCAGCCTCCGAGCGGAGTATTCCGGAACGTGTTCCGTGCCTAATTCCGACAGAAGCCTCGGTGACTCGCAAGTTCTTACGCGCCTAGCCCTTGATGCTGCAGGGCGAGCTGTGATTGCTGAGTGCTGACGGAGACTCACTCTGTCGTTCGGGAGGGCAACCTTGTAGGTCTGCAATAGATTCAAGTTCAGTAGCACCTTAGAGACCAGCAACATTTTTGGGGTATAAGCTTTCGAGAGTCAAAGCTTGCTTTCTTCACTCTGTGTATGTTCAAGAGTTTTTGTTCTCGTCTGCTCTGTAGCAGCTGAAGATAAGCTGTGGTAGAAACCAAACCTTGTCTGAGCAGTGAATAATGGTGGCTGATGCTTTCTGTTTCCTTTATTGTGTATACGTTTCTGGGGGTGGTGTCACATTTCCCTGGAAGAATTGGGTAGAGAGGTGGTGTAGTTCCGTGGGAATGAGAACAAACGTTACAAGGGGTCCCCCAAATTGTTGAGTATTCTCTTCAAAGATGTTGTGTGCTGCGCTATATCTTGTTTTACTGGAAACAGTATACCATATTTACAAACTTTCTCATCCGTTTTGTTTTTCTTCTCCCTTCTGTTACCCCTACTAGCTTTTAGTTTGATCTGTACTGTGCACAGGGAGTGGAAAGCTGCAATTCCTCCCTTCCCTTCCACATTTATTTTATCTTCTTTCTAAACAGGGTTTTTTGGTTATAAAAATGCCGTCAAGTAGCTTCAGGGACACAGCTTGGGAAAACTCTGTGACATTAGTGGCCAATCTATAGTACAAGCTGAGGGTCCTGCCAGTGTACTTAGAAGACCTGTGGTCTTGCTGTGATCAGGATTACCCTCCTGTTGTCACTCTGACATTGTACAGCTTTCATGGTCCTGACAAGTAGTTGCAAACCAAATCAAGATGTGGATGGCAGGAGCTGACTGCATTCAAAAGAATATTTGCTGTATACTTATAGTGACCCTTATTTCAGAAGATCCAAAAATGCCCCTTTGAACCCAGTGAGACTACCTTTTTTAGTGAGAAAAAACTTAAAACTTAAACTGTATATAAAAACATCCCTAGAAATTTAAGGCAGAAAATGTGTTGAACTGTTTTCAGAAAATCTGTTGGTAGCGTTTGGCATCCTAAGTTGTTGGACAGCAATACAGGCATATTTTTAAAAGTTTGTGTGGGTTTGGAACTTGACTTTGGTTCCACATATACCACCTTTTAAGATATATACAAATGTACCATGGGAATGGTGATATATGTGGGAGATACAAAGGGATAACATGGTAAAAAGTTGTGGAAGTGGACTGGGGAATGGAACTGACAGCAAGCAGCAACCAGGGCAGACATGATAGAGGTTTATAAAATCATGCATGGCATGGAGAGGCTGGGCAGGAAGAAACTTTTCTCCGTCTCCCATAATACTAGAACCCATGGACATCCCCTGAAGCTGTAGGGTGAGAGATTCAGGACAGACAAAAGGAAGTATTTCTTTACTCAGCATATAATTTCTGGAACTTTCTGCCACAGGATGTGGTTATGGCCACCAGTTTGGAAGTCTTTAAAAGGGGAGTGGACAAACTAAAACTAGAGCAGTTCCTCCTTATTAAAAGCCTGAAAGCTTGCCTCTGTTTAAGGGATTAATTTGGAATAATCTTTTTGTTCTACTGGTTATTTTAAAAGCAATCAATTGCTTGCTTAAGCAAGGAGAACAACCTGACATACTCCCTGTTGCTTTTTCTGTAGAAGAATAAAGGACAAGTGGCTTTTATGTTTTGCCCTGTAGCTATTCTGCTACTCGTCAGAAAATACCTGTTGGATGTTTTTTATGTCATCTGCCTTGTTAAGACTTATATAGTATCATTTGCTCATTGACTATACTTTATAGTATATGTAGCCAGCTTTCTAAAGTTCTACTGCTGTGACCAGGGGTCGTTTCGTAGAAAAAGAGCTAGGGGAACTCATTAGCACAACTCATTAGCATATGCCACACCCCCTGACATCACCGGAAATGTGTCATAACGCCACACCCCCTGACATCACCGGAAGTGTGTCATAAGGCCACACACCCCATCCCCAACGGTCCCAGCCGCCGCCGGCCTTGCAGCTCCACTGCCGAGCCCCATGAGGGGCCCGGCGGTGGACCTGCAAGGCCGGAGGGAGTGCAAGGAAGCCCCGCGAAGGCCCTCCCTGGCCCCAGGCAGGGGTGGGGAGAGGCAGGGAGGAAGCAACTTACCCTCCCTCTTCTCCTGCCTCCTCCTGGCTGAATGAGGGCCGGAAGCAGGGCGGCCGGAAGCGGGGGGCGGGGCTTCGTCATGTGCCCCACCCCCCATA